ATGCGAGGCTACAAGTGAGAAATTTCCACACCAAGAAAAGGGGCTTTCCTGGGAGCAGCTCGGAACAAGCGGATAATAATACCACCCCTAAAGTTCGAAAGGGAAACGGGGAAGTACGGCTACCGGGGGTGACAGGTGGTGTTCCACAGGGGGAATCAGTTTCTGTTACTCGTGGTCCCTGTGGATATTGTGGAGGGCCAAATCATACTGAAGCAAATTGCTGGAAGAAAGAAGGAAAATGTTTGCGCTGTGGAAGCGCCGAACATCGGATTGCTAACTGTCTAACTCGCCTGCGCGAGCGGAGAGGGACTCTGCCACCAACCAAGCCCAATTCTCAGCAACTAGCCAAGAGCAACCCTGAACAGACGAAAGGAGAAGGGACGGGATCGAAGGCACCAGCTCGAGTATATTCTCTAGAGCAGCATCAGCTCCCTGACTCGTCTGAGGACGTAGAAGGTATGATCCGTTGGGTACCCTAGGTTTTGATAAATTCCGCTCATAGAAAATTTCGAGAACGAAATTTCTTTAAGGGGGAGAGAGTGTGAGGACCCGTGATTTTCTTAGTGTCTAGGTTTTATTTATTTTCTTTGAATTGCACGTTTTTCCATATTTTCTTTATTTGGAAAATTTTAAAATCTAATTTTATGAGTAAATATAATTTTTAGATGATTTTTCTAGTATCGAATAGGTTTTGAGAAATTAAGAGCGTATACCGGACGTGGAACCCACTAGTGCGAAAAGTTCGGAAAAATTCGGCCAATTAGGTTAAGTTTTGGATACTGGATTTAATAAACCGGGTGTTAAGAGATAAGTAGAGGTTGCTATTTGGATTAATGTGAGAGGGGACAAAGTGATAGAGGTGCATTAAATGGAGTGACAAGTGTCACTTGGAGATTGGGTTTACCTTTTGACTATTTTTTTTTGTTTTACCATTTGACTAGTTAAACCAAAAACTTACCAAAATTAGCTTCATTTTCCAAGCTTGTGGCCGGCCAACCTTAAGGAAGAAGGAAAGAAAAACCTCTTCAACTTCTTGGTTCATTCTTGCTCAAATCCACTAACCCAACCGTTTAATCTTGTTTTTGTTCTATAAAAACACTTAAGGGAGTGGTTGTGAGGTGTTTATTGGAGTAATTTGGAAGATTTAAGTGCAAGGTTGTTCCATTTCTTGGGTTATCAAGGTGAGTAGTGAAGGAACTCCTTTTGTCTTTCCAATAATGCTTAATTAGTAACCTAAGTGAGTTAAAGTGATGATCTTTGGTGTTATTTCATGATTTTGATTGAGATTGATGACACTTTCTATTTAATTAGGATTTTTCTGTTTTCATATGATTATTATTATGTAGTTATGTATGATGCTTGGAAATGGTATATAATGATTCTAGAAGGTGGAAAAAGTGGAAGATTGCAAGTAATTTCTGCTTTGGAAGAAATCTGGAAAATTAGGGTTCCTTGGTTCTTCATTCTGTCCGAAATTTTAGGTCATAGATAGAGGCCGAATTGGCCTTAGCTCAAAACATAAAAGTTGTAGGGAATAATATTTTATAGGTGCCTACAAAATTTTAAGTCAATCGGAGTAGTGTAGAATGAGATAAGTCAAAATTACTATTGCTGTTCTGGTTTTACCCGAAATTGGGATTTGCTTCTGTAATTGGTTGTTTTGGTCTGGATTGCTTCCGAATGAGTTGTTGAGGCCTTCTGATGAAATTTAGCCCTGTTTCTTAGCTTTCAACTGGTTTTGGAATTTTTGGATTTGGACTTGTAGAGCCTGAGTTATGATATTTCCGCAATCTGTTTTACGTTTTGATGTAGTATCTTGCAATTTTGACCTGTTTGCACTCAAAACTGGGTTGAGTGACCTTCTGTGATGTTGTAGCCCTGTCTTTTAGCTTCGAAATGGTGGGTCTTACACCTTCATCTGATAATCATAGGGCATTTGGTGCCATTACCGCAAAAAGAAGTCAAAAACTGTTTTTTTCAGTGCCAAAACTAATTGCATTTCCGAATTTTCTGGTTTTCTCTAATGATTGTATATGCTTATGGAACCCTATTGGGGTCATATTTGGCATTGATTGATGATTATTTATCGAGTTTCATTGTACTTGTTTGTATGTTTTAAGGCTTACTTTTATTCCGGTCATTTCCTAGTTAACTTTTACTTTGAGCCTAGTGAATGGGTTTTGGAAATGAGGTGAATTTTGTGTGAGATGTTGGGACTGGTTCGAGGAAATAATGAAACCTTAATGGCTGGAAAAATAAGAAATTTAGGGGAAGTGCTGCCCGATTTTCTAGGCCGTCTGGTTCTTTTAAGTTGGATTTGCCTTTTGGTAGAAATAAAAGGGGTTTTGGGTTGTTGAACCTAGGTCTTTATGCTATCTTTTTGTTCCCAAAAATCATATTTTGTACCCTTGCATTAGTAATTATTTGGCGAGGCATACGACTAGTAGTCGAGCCTCATGTGCATTTTGTTTACTCGATTATGGATGTGAAACCTTCAATTGGTTTATTTTGGTTATTTTAGGGTTTCTTGGCGATTAAGGCCAATCTGAAGTAAAAACTTTTGAAGTTGAGCCGGTGAGTGTACCACTCCCCTCCATTGCTGTTTAACTTGATTTTTGCTCTGCAATCTGTTTAATTTGTTTGAGACGAGAGTGTACTTTATCACACTCGTTCTCTTGTCTGTTCATATGCCAATTTTGGTGTCAATCTGAATCTGTATCTGTATCTGATATCTGTATCTGTATCTGTTCGGACGTCGTTTGGAAACTTGCAACCAACGACCTTTCTGTGACCTATGAACTCAAATCTTGTGGCTAAGTTATTCGAGTCAGGCCGGCAAGGGCCTGGACGATTAGATAACGAACCACGGTAGTCTGTTTTGGGATTTTTGGGTATTGAAACCCTTGATTCCGGTATACTCGAGTATTATCATTTCTGTTCGGTTACGGTTAGCGGGCCCGGTAAAGGGGTGTTTGGTGGACGGAATTCGGTTTAAAGAGGGGTCTACGGACGCGTTGGTTCTATATACGTTGACGGAGAGTCAACCGGTTTGGATCAAGTACTGCGCTGAAAATTTGGCTCCTGAGAGCCACCCGTATCCTTCTGATTTGAATCATTGGTTCCTTTGTTTTACATCTGGCATGTGTACTTGAGTTGCTAAACGTGAAATGCCATGATTTTATTGCTATCTGTTTGGTACCTTATTGAGCGCAAGCTCGCCCCTTTCTGTTCCTTTTATTTTCCTTACAGGAAAATAAACACTTTTGGTCTGGATTTGACAAATGGCTGCCAAATTGAGCTAGTTGAACATATTTTTTGTATAGCTCATGTATTAAAATCCTAAATGTACTTTTGGGGACTGTTTCCTTTTGATTTGGCAAACTGGACATGTATCCAATTTTGAATACTTTTGTATGCCACTTTGGCTTGTAAATGCTAAGTTTCAAGATGTGAATGTTTGCTTGGTATTTGGTTGGGTTCTGACGGGTCGGTTGCTATTCATGGCCGACTCCGGATTTCATTTTTTTTTATTTTGGGTTATTTTACCATTTTGACTTGTTTACGCTCGTTTGTAAGTTTCGGATCGCAATAGATAGCTCTAGTCTGCATCGTTAGTCCTGGCGAGAGTTGGGCAGGCAGTCCGCTAACCCCTTTGGTTCGCCTTAGGGGAAGGTGGGGCTGTTACACTCATATTCAATGAAAAAACAAGAAAAGAACAAAAGGATTCAACTTTTAACTGAGCAAAAAATGATTCCTGAACCAGTTTAGAGGTTTCTTCGGAAAATCTTTAAACTTCCCTGCAAAAATGAAAGTGAAAAGTCTTAACCTCGACCCTTTTGTTCCATATTAGTTAATGTTATTTATCATTTAACTTCTGATTTAACAGATGCACTTGATATAATTTTGGCAGATTTCATTGTGACAGGTAAAAAGATTCACTCAAAGCTAGTATTTAAAAAAAGAATATTAAAATCTAAAAACAAAAGGCCCAAAGTACCGTGAAAAATATTGGAGCAAGAGTTTTACCACAATTTTTTGCCATCGTCCACAAGCCTCTGTCATAGAGGGAAAGAGGGAAGGTCACAAATTGAAAAAGGAAACAAACCAGAGCAAAAAACTTGTGGGCTAAAAAGTTTCTTACCACAAAAGTTGTTCTTCCTCACTCTGTAAAAATGCAAATTGTAATATGAAAGTATAAACGAAGTAAAAAGACGGGAAAAATCACAGATGAATGTGCGCCAAGAAAAGAAGCAATCAGTGTTTCTATAACAGGGGCTCTAGAATGCATAGGTGGGATTAAATGCTTCTAGAATGCTTTAAGAAACCACTATAACTCATACTTTCTGTCAAACAGCACCAGAAAAAATGTTTACAGAGGAAAACATTGATGTTCATGCCTATTTTTTAGCTAAAACCTAATAAATTTATCTTCCTTTCTATAAAAATAATAGTATAATCCAATAAAATAAAAGATAAAATAAAAACTTCAAGTGATTTGAGAGTAGAGACTGAAATTAAAAGGACAAAGTTTTTATCGGCAAAAAATAAATAAACAAATAAATCAATAGATAAATAAAGCAGAACAGACCTTTGGAGGACAGAAAGTGATGGAATATATCCACAAGTACTTGCATTTGCATCCCATAAAAGTTTTCATCTTTTTCCTGCAAAGATAATACTATAAAAATTAGGAAATCGGATAAATAAAACATAAGAGACATAAAATACAATAAAAAATCTTAAGATATAAAGATTAGAAGATCAAAGTTCTTATTGCTAAGAAAATAATTGAGTAACAGAGATATTAAACCAGGCTTTATTAATTTTTAAGCAAATAAAGACCATTGGAAGAACAAAGAAAAGTTGAGTAAATCTACAAGTTATTTGTAGCTCATCTCATCTAAAAAGATCAGAAACAAAAGCCAGAAAATTTGGTAGAATTGTACGAACAAAGCGTGAAGAATTGTACAAACAAAGCGTAAAGAATCAAGGAAAACTTACAAAATCTAATTAAGGTGCTGAAGCTGATTTCTAACATTTCACCTGCAAGATCTAAGCACAAGAAAAAGAGACGGCAGAACACAAACTCAGAAGCATACTCAACAAGAAAATAAAAAATAGTAGATTTCTGGGTTTATAAATACTTCCGACTTTCGCTGCTTTTGGATAAAGATTTTACTATAGCTTTCTTTGTTTGCTTAATGAAGGAGATGGAATAATAGTGAGTGTGTTTGGATTGTAAGTTATTTGAGATATTTTTACTGTAGCACTTTTTGTGATGTGATGTATGTGAGATAAAAAGGTAATTGGGAAGATAAAAAGGTGTATTGGAAATTGTAATGGTGATGTAAGTAAATATATTTGGCCAAATAACTCACAATCCAAACACACTCAGTATTTCAGACCTCTGGGTTATTAATCGAAAGATTAACAAATTTTAGCAGGAAAAATGTCTTTCTTTTGTAAATAAGGGAAACTGTAAAACTTTAGGAAAATATTGGAGCTTACCAATTAAGATGATTTCTGTGTCTCATGCGTTTAGTAGCTTCATATCCAGACCAATTCTAACAAGGGAAAAAAATCAATTAGAATCATATAATTGAAAAAAGGAAAGAGAAGAAAGAAAAAAGGGGGAGGGGGGAAACGGGAAGGAAAATCACAGAAAAAAGGACCAAATAAAAAACAGCAAAAAGGAAGAAAGGAACAAAGAAATGAAAAGAAAAATGGAAGGGGAGAGGAGAAGAGCTCTGGAGAGCAACGAAGCAGCGGAGATGAATGAGGGGAAAGAAAACAAGGGAAGCCCTAAAACAAAATTTTTGGCATGTGAGAAACACATGATGGATGACCACCAGCTAGCCAACAAACTTGGCCACATCAGCACAACAACCACCATTCGTAACAGATCCATTCGCGCTTTTACTATATAGGTTGATAACATGTATGCTTCTCAACAACTTATGGGCATTTGTATGCACCAAAAAATTGTCATTAATTTGGGAGTAGCTCTCCATGTCTAATTGGCGGGAAACAAGTTGCAAAGAGCGGAAAGAGTTGGTCCGATGCAATAATCCTTGAGATACGCGAAAATGAAGCCATGTGTACTCCAATTTTAATTTGTAAATGCTTCCTACTTGGCAAAAGAGTTATGACGGTTTAAATTTAATTGTTAGTTGATATAGATAAATAATTATATACATAAATAATTAAAAGAAATTATTTTTATATAAAATTTATTTTTTACATAATTACATTTATTATAAATTTATTAAAGAATTTTGGTTTATAAGGTTATTGTAATTTAGTAGTTACAATATTTAGAGTAGTTACGAGTAGTTATATTAGCAAAATGTGATTAAGTAGTCAGAGCAAAAATTAGTTTTTCTTTAAGGATAAAATAGAAAGTTTTAAAAATGCCATAAAAAGTTTACATTAATTGTGATCCCTCTAAATTTATATATAGCATAGATAGTGGCTTTTTAAATATTAACATTATCTAATGATAGGGATAACCAAACTGTAGTAAAAATCAAAATTTACTCTTAAAAGTAAGTGTTAAATTTAAAGATTTTGTTGTGATATAGATTATTTAATGATAGCAAATCCATTGAAACAAGCCAGCAACGATATCTAGATAAATGTCAATTAAAATCATGCGTTCAAATTAACATACATATCCAAATAAATATACTTGACAATAAATTGGAATTGAAATTGATTAAGTTGGTGGATTAGCATAGATGAATTATCATAAACATAATTCACATGTTCTAAACTAAGATAGATATCATAATCCTTTTTCTTGGGGGGGGGGGTTTATGTAGCATGGAATTGAATTTTTTACATTGAACTAAATTCTTGTCTAAGCAACTGAGTCACAAAAGTTATGGACGTTAAATTGAAATGATTTGAAAAATTGGCAGTTAGATTGAAAAGATTTGAAAAATTGGCAATCAAGTAATCATGAAAAATGTTTGCAATCAGCCTAATGCATGAAATTCTTGGAGAATAATTTCAAATTTGAAAAGAAAAATATGAATATGAGTAAATGTGAGTTGATTGAACAATAAATTTGGCTATTTCATTGTTAACCATTTCATTAGTTTATGTTATCTCTGTATGTTAACAATTTCATTGTTTTATTAGAATATCAATTTGATTTCATATTCATCAAATCAAAGTTGAATCAAATTGAAATCAAAATTCAATGTGATTCTTTTGACAAATATTTATAGATGTTGAAATTTGGTTAAAACACCAATCTCGGTTCTAGTTAACCTTTTTATTTTTTTCTAAGTAAAGTTAGTAATTGATAATAATGTCATACTGTGTTCATGTGTGAGTAGCTATTAAGTAACTAGGCTACTAAGTATTATGGTTGTAATCAGAATGTAAAAGATAATTAAGACTATTACTTATCCACAATACTTTTTTTTTTTTGCAAAAACTACATACTATATTGTGGATAATATAGTATTGTGTTGAGAATATGTTGGCATTCAATTTACACAAAATATTTGAACGGAGAAAATATTGATTCATTAATTTTCATAAATCCAAACCATAAGATATTGCTTTTGTATGGGTTTCACTAGACACTAGGTATGCATTATACTAATCTTTTAAAACTACATCTTCAATGTATTACCTACTCAAGTTTTGATTATTAAATGATCTTAGTTATGGTAAGGGTTAAGATAAATTAATGTTGCAAGGTTTAACAGTGTTCTAAGGTAAATCTCGAGGTGATACATTCTTTTTTTTCGTTAAATAAAATTTATCCCCTTAAGGTATATCTTGGCTTCTTTTTTTTTTTTCAAATTTTTGGTCTCTCTTCTTTTTTTATTCGAAATTAGTTATCTTTTTTCTTTGAATTTATCCCTTTAAGTCAATTACCCATTTTGACAATATTGTATTTCTTATTTTGACAAACTAGGGGGTAATACTTATCCATTATAAATAATTTTTTTAAAATTATCACTTAAGTCTATCTAATACTGAAGTTTAATTATATCAATCGAAGTAATTTTGGGTGAAAATTTGGAGACTGGTAGTTGGCGACTTTAGTTGACTTTCCCAATTTCACCCCTTTACCCTTATCCCTTGCTGAATCATGAAATTTTTAATTTTTATTTACCACTATTATTCGGAGAATTGCATTCCATTCGTTCCATTGTTAATGTCACGTTTTTACTTTTTGTTGTCTCAAAAAATAAGAATTTCGTAGCAAAAGTCAAACAATTTTTTTTTTTTTAAATGTCAAACAATTTTCAATGCTTTTCTTTTACAGTAATAATGACAGGACTCTATCAATTAATACTAAATAATTACATATGATCCACCATAACACCTGCAAGTCCTATGACTTTTTGTTTTTAGCTAGCTATTTCTGTGTTCAAACAATGGGCAAGACCGGAAGAATATGAAAAGTGCAGCCCATTCTACCGCGCATAATAAGATAAGTGCAATTCCTTAAAAATGTCCCAATTTTATGGGACAGAGGGTACTTGGCGGCTTCATCAGCGGGGATTTCCAGATTCCATCCGCCACAAAGGCATTTGTATTTGCAGTTTACTCCCTCAGATTGTGAAAGATGTCCACGCTTAGTTGTCTTGCTGACACTTCTTCTGCCCACGGTGGAGAGTTCACTCTACTTTCCACAGTAGAAGTATCATTTATCGTGAATGAACAAACTTTGATAAAACGTATCAGCTTGATCCGCAGGCTACTGATTTTGGGAATATGACCGCCGTGGCAAGCATCTCAGCTGCCGTGAGGAGGCTTCAAGAATTGTTGCTGGACGAAGCGAGACCTTTAGGCCAGTTAGAACCGGAGGTCAAGAGCACTGTGTTGCCGATATTGCAGGAGTCGGAGGAAATGTTGATGGGGCTACCAGCCCATAAAATAAGAGTAGAAGGAGCCCAGGATGATCTGGAATTTGGAAGAACGACCAGAATTCTGTTGTCTTCTATTGAGGATAAGGTGGAATCGTATGCCCTCCAACTTGGATCTGCAACTAGCAGTAGTCGTGAAGCATGTTGCGGTGGTGGTGAGAATACAGCGTTTGGGAAGGTCGTAGCTGACTTGAAAGTTGCTGTTGATGGACTCAAGGATTGCGTTACATCCTACTGTGCACAACAAAATCAATATCAACAGATTCGAAAGCTAGGACAGAAGTCCCAATGGCTCGTCTCTCGAGCAAATTTCTCTAGCGGCCGCTGGGGAGATGAAGCTTTTGGATTGGAGGAGGAAGTACTTGAGCTGACAAAGGTTTTAGTAAGTGAGGAGACTGATCCCAGAGTTGTTTTCATAGTCGGAATGGGTGGAATCGGCAAAACAACCCTTGCCAAGAAACTGTTCAATCACCCTGATGTTCGGCATCATTTCAAGGGTTTCGCCTGGGTCTATGTCGGTGGTCACTGGAGCACCGGAGATATCTTGATAACTATACTCGACCAACTGTCCTCCTTGCCGAGGAAGAAACGGGAGTCGATGATGAAATCCGAGGAACTGGAGCTGGCCCCACAGGTGTTCACAATTCTACAGCGAAAAGGTTGCCTGGTCGTTTTGGACGACTGTTCCGACCGTGAACTCTTGGATATCCTAAGCATTGCCTTCCCATTTGCGGTGAGGAGTGCTAGTGCTAGCAAATTCATTCTCACCACTCGAAACCGGAATTTAAGCAGATTTCTTGATCCAGGTGCAGTATACAGCTTGCGCATGGAATCACTGAATGAAAAGAAGAGCTGGGATCTACTCTCTCATATTTGGCGCAAGCTAGAGGGTCAGTCTCTCTCAACTTAAAACTTCAATTGTTTGAACAATCATCTTTGCTCTCTCTCTCCCCCTTGTTTTGGTGTTCTCGCCTTCATTTACTTTTTAATAGATTTAAGGGAAAGAAAAAAGAAGAAGAAGAAGCCCAATAATTTCATGGTGCAAAGTGGTATTAACAAGAGATTTAGCTACAAACTCAGACAATGAATATTCATAAACATTCCCGAACAAATCACTTGGGGAAAAACATTTGCCTGCAATTTCAATCAAAATTAAGCTCCTCTCATACATGGTACATTTATACTCTACAATTAGCTAGAAATTAATCAAAGAAAATCAAAATTCCATTGTTCTACACTTCTACTGCTCATGAGGAGCCTTACTTGATGAGAGAATTAACAACAAATATATGATATCTACAATTGATTCTTTGTTACATGGTACTTCATAGACTTGGGTGTTGACGCTTGTACAGTTGAAAGTAATCTTAACTTTTACGCAAGGCATTTTTTGGTGACATTCCAATTATTATTATTCATGACACTCCTATCTCATGTCATTTTCTAAAAAGCGCCAATGTGGAATGCCAATAATATATAGTAGCTACTTAATTACTATCATTGTTTAAAGAAATACTTGAGCTTGGGACAAAATCCTGGTTAACAAAATTGTAATTTACAGATGTTCCTGTTTGTAGATTTTTAAAGAAGATATAACCCTCATTTGAATCTCAACGTCTTGGTTTGTTTCGTTAATTGGCTTCTGGTTTTCTCTACAGAGGGTCCGTTCCCAGGGAAACTGGTGCCAATTGCATGGGAAATATTAGCTCGATGCGAAGGCTTACCATTGGCTATCATTG